CGCTGATCCCGGTGCCGGGAGGCATATTACCCTTTTACTATATAGAATAGAGGCCTGGTGCACGGGTGGGGGCTGGCTGGTTTGCCCTGAAGGGTGTCCTGGATCAGGGTGGGGGTCCCGCTTGAGTGCCTGGCCAGCCTGGATGAGGGGATGATGGCTGTTTTCAGCTGATCACACCCCCTTCAGGGTGGGGGTCCCCACTGGGGTGCCTGGCCAGTCTGGGTGAGGGCCTGAGGGCCGTTCTCAGGCTGGCAGGTGACTGAAGCTCCCAACCTCTCCTTTTTTTCCTCTTTTTATTCTGGGATTTATTTACCTTCTATGGCTGTCACTGGAGCTGAGAGCCGGCTTTAGCTCTGAGGCTCGGCTCCAGCTCTGAGACCTCGGATGCTGAAAGCAGGTTTCTGGGCTTTGTTTACCTTCTGTATTTGAAACTTCGTTGCGACTCCAGCTCTGAGATCCTGGCTGACTGAAAGCAGGTTTCTGGGGATTGTTTAGCTTCTATATTTGCAACAATGTTTCTTAGAGAGCAGCTCAGAGCCCAGCAGCGGCAGGCGGGGAACCTTGGCTTCCTCCGTCACTGGAGCAAGTAAGCCTCCAGCTCGCTTCAGCTGCCTGGCTGCCGGCCGCCATCTTGGCTGGCAGTTAATTTGCATATTGCTCTGATTAGCCAATGGGAAGGTTAGCGAATTTATGGTTAATTACCATGTTTCTCTATTATTAGATAGGATTTCATGTTTCAAAGATCATCTCATTCTGTTTTGTATTGTTTAAAATATTTGTTTATATACTTGTAGCTTGCTCAAACTGGTACAGAATTTAACTTAGTCTTTGCATTTATTCTTCATGCTAAAAGTGCAAGCAAGCATATTAAGGCTTTTTAAAAAAGCAACAGTTCTAATATAGAGAGACACAGACTATTTAAATTATTTTTTCCACTTCAAGCTGAAGGCTGGTATTAAGCCAGCATCTAAATATGAAGAAAAAGCAAATTGCTTCTTGTTAATATGTAGTTAACAAACAAGTGCAAACTCTGAGTAAATCGGGGCTTTTTAAATTATATATATATTT